AATAGTGCGGCGTCGCAAAAGTCAAGAGAATTTCAAACACTATATAGCGACCGCACAGTGCCGGTCGCAAAAGAGAGCAAAAATGCCCGTCAAAAAACATTGCCGTCGCAAAAACTCTTTGCGACCCCTCCATTTGCAGACCCCCAAATCTTGCCGTCGTAACAAGTCATGTTTTGCCGTACGGGCAAAAAGTATTTTGCGACGGCATTAGGAGTATTAGCCGACGGTATTAACAGTCGCAAAAAGTCAATTTTTTTTGATAGTGAGAGAACCGAACTTAAAGTGAAGAGGGAGCTCAAATAGAAGGTTTAATCAGAGGCTTGAGAATCTTGAAGATTAACTCAAGAATTGGCAAGAAATTGGGTGTTGAAGACTCCTAGGTGAGTAAATTCATGGATTTAATTTGTAACTTGGTGAATTCAAAGTTGAATGGTGATCAAGAACATGAATTCAACTGATACGATGAAAATGAGTTTGGTTTTGTTGAATTGGAAGTAATATACACATGCATGTAGGAAAATTAGCCATGAATTTGTAATGTTTTGAGCTTGAAATACATGAATCCATGTTGAATCTTTGATTGAAGTTCATGCTTTTGATCATCTCTTCATCATTTAAATTGAGAATGAGAGCATATATCTTCACATGCATGTACAATTCATAAGAGTAGTGAGTTTTGAATACATGAAGATTGTTATGTTGGAAAACAAGTTTGGTGTAATTTGGAAGCATGCTATGTAAGTAATTGATCATGAAATATGAGTTATAATGTGATGAATTTGGTGTTGTATCATGTTGTAATGTATATATGTAAGTTTGAGTCATAATGATCAAGATATGTTGATTTGAATGCAAGTTTTGAAGCTCAAAATGGGTTGCTGCCTAGACAAAACCCAGGGATTTGGCATGTCCGCTCGAGGCGTGGGGAGAGCTGCTCGACGCGTGAAAATCACGACTCCCATAACTTTTTGCAGACATGGATGCCACCGCTCGAAGCGGAGTATATTATTCTCACGCTCGATAAGGGAGCCATTGTAGAGTGACTTCAGCTCGAGTGTCCGAATTCAGTCGAGCATAAAAAATGAGGCAACTAGTTTTTGCAGAACCAAAGGGGTCCGCTCGAGAGGGGAAACAATGGCGCTCGACGCGGGGAACCCTGTTTTTGAAATTTTGTAAAGTTGAATGAATTTCATTTTTCATTCTCTTCCATCTCTAAGCACTCTTGGGCATGTATAGCATCGTAAATGAGTTAAAGGATAAGAACCGAAGCCCTAAGAGATATATGATTAGAACGGAATGAATCGTTTGTGACCCATTATGTTCATGAAATATTAGGGTCAAGTACGAGGGCAAATCTACCGGCAGATCACTGTGAGTATATCTTAATAAAGATATCTGAAGTATGTTTATTTGTCCAATTTGCTTACTTCATATAAGTCTTGTAAGTTGTTCCATTGAATTGGGGACAGGTATTTGTTATGCCAATATGATTGGGCACAAAAGTGCCGTCTGACATGACATGAATAGCTTGATACATATGAATGATCAAGTACTTGCTTCACTATATGAATTGATTAGGTGAGCGCCGTAGACTATATGAATGATTGGCAAGGTCAAACTGACATGAAAAGTAAAGTCTGACACGAAATGATAGTCTGACATATGATGATTAGGCCAAAGGCCATCTGACATGGAATGATAGTCTGAACGAATGATAGTTTTGGCGCAATGAATGATAGGCACAAAGGCGTCTGACATGAATGATAGTCGAGATATGAACGATTGGGCCGAAGGCCATCGGATCTGAACGATTGGGCCGAAGGCCGTCGGATACAAACGATTGGCACAAAGGCCGTTAGAAATGAATGGATGGGCCAAAGGCCGCTCGGGTTATGAGTTAATTGGGCCTGAGGCGTTTGATACGTCTAGAACTTTAGTCGATTGCACACATTAAAATAGAAACATGAATTGGGCCAAGGCCGTCTGATGTAACTGTTTCAAAGATTGTTCATGTATCTCCTTATTTGATATTATTCACTGGGCTTTCGCTCAAGCTCATTCATGTCTATGTAGGTGAGCCAAAGGATGTCCAAACCCAGCTCGTGAATATATGTGAAGAAACAATCAAGGTTTTAGAGAGTTATCCCAAATGTCTCACACACGAGACTTGTCTTTGCCTCTTTTGTTCTTTTGATATAGTTTTGTTATCTTGGCAAAAACATCGGATTACCTTTGTAATAAATCTTGGGTTTGACTGACTAGAATTGAATGATCTGTGTATGTACAGAATTTGTGCTATTCTCCTTGATGTGAGTTATTTAACAGACATATATTATATATATATAGTATTGTTATGATATGCTATGTAAGCACAGCTCTATGGACAAAAGTTTTAAATTTGCTTCCGTTTGGACCCTTTACTCTGATAAGATATTCGTCTTGTTTGGTTTGAGGCCGTAGGTAATCCTTGATTACTGGCCGGTTATGTTCCTTAACCCATAGGGGCGGGTTCGGGTCGTGACAGCATCATTACATGCGTTGCGTTAGCCATCTTATACAGTTAGGTATTATGCATATTTTTCTAACTCTTTTGTTTTATCTAAGCTTGGAGTACTAGGTCAGTTTTTAGTGCTTTAGCACACTTGCATGAGTGTGAGTGACTACCTTGACTAACATGCTACCATGAGACTAAGTGCTTAGTTGTTAAAACTGTTTGAGTGCCTGTGGATGAAGGCTTGTTGCTTGAATTGGAATGATTCAATGAAGTTACATTTAAACCCACTTTGTCAAGTGGCATATTCACAAACTTTAAGCCCACTTTGTTAAGTGGAAAAATCAAACCCTTTTCAAAAAAACAAACATGAAATTGAATCGTTCCAATTTGAGCAACTAGTCTATACCTTGTGTGCACACATCACATAGTAAATGCTAGCCTAATAAACCGGAAAGAGCATATAATGTTGATAAAAATCATATCATGATTAAGTAGAGGCCGATCTTTGATCGGCGAGCGGGAGTGCTCAAATGTATTCGTGACCTTCCCTCTTTCGTACCCAAGTTCTCGAGCTGAGGAAACTTTGGTGATGACGGACATGTGGCATTTGGCACGAGTCATGGTTTCCTAGATTTGCCCAAAATATATTTAGGTGGCAACTCTGTATCTGGCAAGCAGTCCAATTTTGGCATTTTTGATTCAAAAATCCATTTAACACGATTGTCAAATTGGATTCTTTGGTGCTTTATCAATTTCATATTGCACTTGTGAGTTTAGAATTCAAGAACCATGGCGGACAACGTAGCTAGGGCATGATTTTCGAACTTTCGAAAAGGGGCGTGATAAGTACGAGTCTACAGGGACTTTCACGCCTAGACACTCCGGTCACAACTAATTTCAATGGAGTCCATCCTCTATCTTCCCTCCAAACAATGGAGTACATCCCCTTTCTCCTCCCAAACAATCATACATACAATGTATTAAAATCATAGTCATATTCAATGACAGCCAACAAATAGATTAGTTTCAATTTACTTAATCCTTATGTAATTTCTATAACAATCATAGATATTCCTCCACGGATAGCCTAATAACAATGAACCATAATAATATAAAAATTCCTGTATAAAATAACAATTTCTCCATAATAAAATATTCTTCCATTCATAATTACACATCAACAAAATTATCCCACTACATAATGTTCCATAATTATCCTCTGATAAAATTTACAAATATAAAAGAAATGAAAAAAATAAACACAATATAAATGAATATAAATTACTTTTTGGAAAGCCTAAAAAATTCCATAATTTCATAATGATAGTTTGTACACATCCTCATTCATCAAAACTCACGAAGAAATTGTCCATCTCTTGTATGGTTTTGCCAAGCGTGTCTTCAAGGCTGCCAAAAATGGCAACTGATGATCCTTTGTTATCTAAAATCAAAATGCATGTAGCATTCATCAGCCTTTTCTCTCTCATAGAACCAAGATTTGTGATCATCAAGAAGCAGATCAACATATTTCTTCAGCAAACACGATGTCAAATATGGATTGCACTGCAACGAAAACATAGCAATTAGATGAGAAATATTGTGAATTTGCAGAATATCAATTAACAGTAAGATGGTGCTAAAGACTGCAGTAAAATAAAATAAAATAAAATAAGATATTTGTCACCAGATAAATTTCACCATTTTTTTCACCTACGTGGATCTACACAACAAACACCATATGAACACATACGACACACCCCAGAATAAAATGGTACCCCCATATACGCATGGCGTTTGTTGTATGGATCCAAATAGGAGGTTAAAAAAAAGTTTGTATAGAAACCCGTAGGCCAAGAAAATTCTCTAGGAATCAGCATAGTGGGACAAATCAAATTTCTAGTCATTAAATCAAGTTGCTATAAAGTTTCCCAACTCAAATGAATTGCTAAAAACAATCCAAGGAAGAACTGCAACGCTTTGCATACCTAGGCTTCAAGGCAAGTGCTGAAAGTGCTGATACAATTGATGCTTTAAGAATGTACCTGAAAACTAGAATTGAGTGAGTCTTGAGAATTAAAATAAAAACTTAATGTTGGCTCTGTAATCTATTAATGCAGCAATCACAACTAACAATTGTTGAAAGATATGACTTTCATCAATGAACAAGTAACATTATCTAAAACCAAGTGCTTCAGCAAATAGCACACTAAAAAAACAAAACAAAACATACTCCATTGAGAATAGATGGTGGAATGAGAAGAAAGAAACCCTAGTCTCTCGTTGGAATGAAATAAATAGAGGTTATGAACAATGAGATAGTAGTAGTGCATGTGATGAATGTTATAAAAAAATCAATTAAATTTCTCAATTTAAGAGATGTGCAACCCATACTAGCAACAATACAAGAATGGAGAAAAGAATATGAAATGGCTTTTTAAGTATAAATGTGCACTGAATCCAAATCAATTTAACTAAAAAAAAGAATACAAAAGTCTTTGTTTCAACACAATGTTCTGCCTACCCAAAAACTACCCATAGCCATCCTAAATTCCTACTTGCAGTGGGGAGGGGGAAAATGTAAGACATTGAGTAGTGAGTAGTTTCCATACTCTGATTGGTGCATCTCGTAAATAAGGCTTAGCCCATCCAGACAATCTGCTTGAGATGGTTTTATACCAATTCGTTGTTGTAGCTGTTTTGGGGCCGCCTGAATAGATCCTGCTTTAACCAGCTGTCTACCATCACGAAGAATTTTATTGAGAAAGAAAACGATACCATGAAACTCTTCCCTGGAATAGTTCACAATAAACTAAAAAATTCATACATTGTCGATGAACCCAATAACTTGAGTACTTCAGAAGTCAATGAGCAAAATCGCTCTTGGTTGCAAAGTAATATGATCAACATTATCATGATCAAGAATACATAAAATATTTGAAATGTATCACATATCGTGAAATACGTCTACTCTCTAAAAACAATGACGATTTTATTCAAGAGTTGATTTGAGAGCATTAAATCATTTCTCCATTTACAAAGCCTTCAAGGAGAGTATGCAACCATTAAAAATTTTGTTCCTATCATTTCAAAAAAAATGCTAAAACTAAAAGCCCCAATCCCAACTTGCTATGCTTACTTTCACAAAATATAAACAAAATCATCACCATAAGTTCAAAAGTTGCGATTTTTTTTCTTATCCAAAATTTTCTCAATAAATTGCACAGAGCAAAAGATAGAAACCCAATAACTTACAGAGTCTTATTCATGGAAAGCAAGATAATGCTATGCTCGCTTTACCAAAATATAAACAAAATAATCATCATAAGTTCAAAAGTTGAGATTTTTTTTCTTATCCAAGATTTTCTCAACAAATTGCACAGAGCAAAAGACAGAAACCCAAAAACTTACAGAGTCTGATTCATTGAAAGCAAGATAGATTCCAAAGATTCCATCTGCTTTCTCAAGACCAAATCTTCAATGCCAGCAATACATTTCAAGGCACCATAGTTCTTGGGATTTTGGATAACCTGTAATCAAACAAAAACAAAAACAAAAACAAAACACAAATTATAATATGAAGAACAATTCATAAGCTATTTCATATTATAAGTATGTTGTGGTGAATTAGAAGGGACCTGTAACCTCTGAATGATAAAAGATGAGTTCCAGAACTGGGAAAGCAACCTAGATTGAAGTTCGTCCCATCGACTCATCTCTTCTTTCACTTTTCTAAATTTTTGTTGACATGTCTTCACCATACCCTCCATCCTCACCTACCCAAAATTGTAAATCTTCAATTGTTTCCTCTGCAAACATCCAGATGATACTGAAAATTCGATCATATTACAAACATAATTATTAATTAATAAAATGGGTTCCACATTAATAATTAATCAAAAAAAAATTAAATCAAATCAAATAAATGAAAAATAACATTAAATGAAACATGCATCAAATGCAATTGCAATTAAATTTTTATTTATTTTTTATCCAATATTTTTTCAAACCACTCATTCTAAGCATAATCAAAAATGTTTGAGAATCTAATTTTTTTTTGCAATAAGTGTCAACTTTACTACCTTGTCATATTAGGTGAATTTAAGATCTAAATCCTGAGTTTCTAACATTTTTCAAATGAATTTAAAAATAAAAAATAAAAAATTAATAGGAGAGATTACGAGCTGTGCAATGGCGAACGGCTAGGGCTCGTTTGCCCTTTCGGCTGCTCCTCCGCCGCTCGTCGTCGATCGAGAGAGAGGGGGGTAAGATGAGATTAGGGATTTTTGTGTTTGAGATTGGGGATTAAGGGCGCGGGAATGAAAAGAGAAAGGGGGAAGGGAGCGGGAATGAAAAACAAAAGGGGAAGGGAATAAAAAATAATATTTTTTTTTTGTCAAAAATGAAATTTAAATAACAAAATAATGTTGTTTAATTTTAATTTTTTATTTTTTTTTGTGACGGGGGTTGTTGTTGTCAAAAAAAAATATTTTTTGTTAAAATATATATTTTTTTGTAGTTAATGAATTTTTTTTTAAAAAAAATCTTTTTTTGTTTAGTTATTAAGATTGAAAATTTATTTGTTTCATTTTTATTTTAATGAAAAAAAAATATTATTATTTTTTATTTGGTAGAAGTAGGGGCAATATTTTAATGAAAAATATTTTCCACTAAAATAAAAGTTAATTTTCTGTGGTCAATGAAAAATATTTTTCTGCTGCCCATTTTTTTTGGTTATTAAAAATTGTGAACTAATTTTTTGTGGTAGAGGAAAGGGAGCGGCAGTAGTGGTGTAGGCGGTGGATAAGAGATGATGGTGGTGGTGGTGGTGGTGGTGATGGCGAAGGAGATTAGTGGTGAAGTTGTGGTAGTGGTAGAGTAGATAGAGTAACAAGGGTGAAGGAGAGGTAATGGTAGTAGTAATGGCAGTAGTTGTAGTGGAGTGGTGGCAATGGTAGTAGTAATAATGGTAGTCGCAGAGGTGAAGTGGCGACAGTGGTAGTAAGGTGGTAGTGGAATGACGTTTGCAGTAATGGTGAATATGGTAAAGGAGATGGGTGGTGAGAGAGAGAGAGAGGTGAGTGAGAGACAGATAGAGGAGAGAGAGAGAGACAAAGACAGAAGAGAGATAGAGAGAAGAGAGATGAGTGAGAGAGACATAGAGAGAAGAGAGATGAACAAGAGAGATAGAGAGAGATGAGAGATGAGAGAGATAAAGAGAAGAGAGATGAACGAAAGAGACAGAGAGAGAAAAGAGATAGATGAGTGAGAGACACAGAAAGAGAGACAGACAGATAGACAAACAGACAGAGAGAGAAGAGTGACGAGTGAGAGAGAGAGAGAAAGAGAAGAAAGAAAGGAAGATGAAAAAATAGATGAAAAGATATAGACAAAGAGAGAGAGAGGGAGAGAGAGAAAGAGCGAAAAGAGATAAACGAGAGAGAGACAAAGAGAGATGAGCAAGAGAGATAAAGAAAAGCGAGAGAAAAGAGAGATGAGAGAGATAAAGAGAAGAAAGATGGATGAGAGACACAGAGAGAAAGAGAGACAGACAGACAGAGAAGAGTGATGAGTGATGAGTGAGAGAGAGAAAGAGTAAAGAGACAGAGACATAGAGAGAAATAAAGAGACAGACAGACAAAAAAGAGTGATGAGTGAGAGAGAGAAAAAGAAGAGAGACAGAGACAGAGAGATAGGAAGATGAAAAAATAGGTAAAAAGAGAAATGTTCAAAAGAGTAAGACGACGTCGTTTATAGTGGATCGATAAATCGAGAAGGAGCTCGATAAATAGAGAAGATGGGAGTAAGAGAGTGAGCAAGGCGAACATAGTGAGGGAGAAATAGACAAATAGATAAGTAGACAGAGAGAGAGAGAGAGAGAGAGAGAGAGAGAGAGAGAGAAGAGTGATGAGTGAGAGAGAGAGAGAGATAGACAGAAAAAGAGATAGAGAGAGAAAAAGAGAGAGAAAGAGAGAGAGAGATAGAGGGAGAGATAGAAAAAGAGAGAAACAAGAGATGGGCGAGAGATAGATAAAAAGGGAAAGAAATAGAGCGAAAAGAGATGAGCGAGAGAGAGAGAGACACAAAAAGAGAGAGAGAGAGAAAGAAGAGAAATGGGCGAGAGAGATAGAAAGATAAGAGAGAGATATAGAGAGAGAGATATATAGAGAGAGAGAAAAGAAATGAGAGAGATAGAGAGAAGGGAGATGAGCGAGAAAGACAGAGAGAGAAAACAGATGAGAAAGATAGAGAGAAGAGAGATATTCGAGAGACACAGAGAGAAAATGAGAGAGAAACAGATAGACAGAGAAAGAAGAGTGATGAGTGAAAGAGATAAAGAGAAGAGAGAGATAGAGACAGAGAGACAGGAAGATGAAAAACTGAATGAAAAGATAAATGTTATATCAAAAGAGTAAGACGACATTATTTTTTTTAATTTTTTTTACGACAGAAAAATACCCTTAAATTTATTCAAACCGTTTTGTGACTATATATATATGAAGCTGTCTTAAAACCACAATCACTATGCTAGGTTAGAGTTTTCCAAAAACTCTTTTGAGAAAATTATACTTTATTGTTTTTCGTGTTATATTGTTTTTACTGAATTTTTTTAATATTTTAAGTATTTTTTTTTAATTTTTAGACACACCTAACATAAATACACCTAAAAATTAAAAAAAGTGTAAAAATAATCTTTAAAAATTCACTATATACAAAAAATACAATAATTCAATACATTTTTTTTTGTATTTTTATGTATTTATTAATTTTTTTTAAAAAAATTTCATAAATTTTTTTTTTAGATAACATCTAAGTAAGGTGCATCTAAAAAAAATATTTAAAAATTTAAAAATATTCACTAAAAACAAAAAAAAAAAAAAACACGAAAGTCACTTTTTTGCGACGGCAGAAAATGCCGTCTCAAAAAAGCAGAGTATTTGCGACGGCATATTTGCCGTCTCAAAAAAGCAGAGCATTTGCACATTTTTTGAGACGGCAAATTGTGCCGTCGCAAATGCTCTGTTTTTTTGAGACGGCAAATGGTGCCGTCGCAAATACTCTGCTTTTTTGAGACGGCATTTTCTGTCGTCGCAAAAAGTGACTTTTTGAGACGGCAAGTGTGCCGTCGCAAATAGTTCCGTCTCATAAACCCACTTTTCTTGTAGTGTCTCTCTCTCTAGAGAGCAAAATCTGATGTGAGCCTCCAACAAATGAATATAAGTGTATATTGGCCCCTTTTATACAAGCTCCCTTAATCACATTTATTAATACTAATTAATTGAGCACTATATCATCAATTTAATCTATTTAATTTGATCCGAATCAATTTTCACTTAAATTTCACCGTAGGTTCTAAAAATTACGCTAATCATAATGGCGTAGTCAATTTCGGTTTCTGTGGCCGACAAGGCCTTCAATTTTCAGTTTATAACAGTAAGTTGAACAGATATTCCTACGGTGAACAGATAGAAATACAAAACCACATATATTCATATAAATGGCACTCAAAATCATATCAAACACATAATCACAATCACAATTAAGATTGATTACCATAATATGGAGCAAGGTTATCACAGATGCAACTAAAGTAGGCTTGGTTACTAAACATGGCATATGAATCGATTTTGATAACATGTGGTCTAAACACGTATTCAAAGAAATATTGAAACGACAATGCAGTTAGAATGATGAACTAAGCCTCGGTGCATGCAATACAAATGGATGAAAACATGCGATATGCTAATTGAAACGTGATGCCCCTATTCTAACCATCAAAAGAGGATAAATAAAAATAAGAAAGACATGGGGTTAGAAGACATGCACATTATTACAACATTGATACCCTTGCGCAGTAGGGTCCGAATGAATAAACTAAGCTAACTAGATACTAATTAAGCTAAGCTAATTATTACAACAAACTTTGAATTATCTAAACTACTTAACTAATTATTAAAAAAAAAATTCAACTAATTAACTAACTATGCTAGCTAACTAATTATAATTACAACACAATACGAATTAGCTATTCTAACTAATTACAAAAGCCACTAGTTAAGCATAACACTAATCTATTACGACACGGATCCCAAGGATCAATGAGAAACTCATGCATGAACGCGGTTTCCACCCGAATAGCCACTATTTTGCTGCCGCCGCATGCCTCTGTTGCTCAGTAGGACACTTGCACTAATTTTCCACTTGCAGACCAGCTCTGTTCTATCTTAGAAAGACACTGCTGAATTTGCATTGGTGGCCGACAGGGTGGCCGGTCGGCCACTGCTGATGTTCGGTCGGTCGGCTACCGATGATGGCCTGTCGACCACTGCTGATTAGACTTCCTTACTGCAACAGAGAGCAAACAGAGCAGGACAATGTATTTCTTAAGGATTTGTTTGCACAATTCATATCCTTTTTCATGAACAAATCAAAGGGAGACAAACCTTGGTCCACAAACCATCAACTCAAGCAATTTCATTACGTGATGGCTCACGAACCAAAGTGTGCAATTTCATTAAATGCAACAAAACAAGATTCAAACCTCCTCCCTTTCATGAAAGATCAAGGGAAGTGGTTGACCTTGGAGACTTGGATCATTTCATAACTAATGAGTATGAATTGGTTCAAGCTTCCATGTGTTCAATTAACGTTCGGTTGAACATGACCAAACATTATCTTGCTCACTTTTAGTCCCAAGTTTTAGTTATTCATTTCAATTACCATTTTATTCTTT